ATGTAATATTACGAACGATCTCGAAAACAAAGTGGAAGTTCTTTTCAACAAACGCAATACGCGTGCACTCTCTGCAGTCACACACCCTCAAACAGCTGATGCCAATGACATTCACGTTTCAAATGGATTAAGAAATTTCTCATTATGCATAAGGACGTGCCTTGAACGGATATGCTGTTACTCCTAATCAGTTAACAGTATGAAACTATTAAGCGCGATATCAGTTATTTTGTATAGACTGATGTTGTCTGTTATCGGTTAAAACTCATTGGACTGGAACCTACGAAGTAAAAATTTAACTGCAAGCAATCGCCGCAATAATCGTTATGGTAACAATTTTTCTGCGGTCAATCACGTGTTGATTTGCTGGTCAATAACATATTGATTTACTTTCCACCAACTTCATTTATAATGGTTGTTGATTATTTCAGTGGCAGAAAACTAGAACGCCGAGTTACTGTGGATGTGATCTAACGTATTAACCTAACTATAAAAAATACGTGGATACAATTAACAGCCGAGCTAGTCTCCGATGTCTTTAATTCATTTGAATGTTTTCCTTTCATTAAAGTATAGAGAAGTGCAATAATACACTTGCCAAAATTGTCGCTCCTCGCTTCAACCCTACAATGTCAGCCGCGGCCTCGTTACACTGCAAAACAAACATTTTTTTCAGCTGTTATTTGCGTTAGCTGTTTTTACGATCTGGGTTATTGAAAAATTGCCTTTTAGTACATTCTTAATTCCCCGTTCGTTAACTATATTCAAGAAATTCAAATTTCTCTAAGCGACTTATTTTTGTAACTTCGTCATTGCTTAAGGAGTCGCTTATTCCTTAAATATGGACTATGAATACCGCCCTTAGCCCACATTAAGTATTCCTTTTTCTTTATTTATTTCAAAGGAATTCGGAAGCTTCATCTCGGAAAACAAAATAATTGTATAACGCAAGATCGCAGATCCTGACTGTGCGCGTAAACTAGTTTTACCTGATATAATTAAAAACATTATAATAGACGTTTACTCTTAAATTTAGTAAACCTTTTCACTTATTACAGTGATTACCCATTTCTATTCATTCCATATCCTTTTTATTCGGTATTATATCATCGAGAATTAATTTTGAACGTCAAAAGACCAGTTACTCAACAAACAAATAATCATACGATCGTATCTCCTACACCCCTAGACTGAAAACCTAAAGAGTCTCAATTACCCGAAAAATCTTAATTACACAATTTCAAATCCAGAAACCCCTTTCAAATGCCGATCTCCAATCACACACCCTCCTCTCCTAAGCCATGCCTCCCGTATGAGTATCAGGCGAGGAATAATAATTTCGTTAGAGAAACGGCTGCAATTACCGCGATAACACCGGACTTTTTCTTGCCTTGGCCGATCCGAATCGGGTCAAATAGAAGAATTTCATTTCGTTTCTTCAATTTTATTGTTTGAAGTAGTAACAAAAAAAGAGTCGCACAAATATTTGCGACGCGGCGAGACGGTGGCAGCGGCGGCCAGTGCGAGAGTCTGCTGGGCCACGGGGGCGGACTCGGCGGCGGTGGCGCCGCCCCCGAGCCAATGGGCTCGCGACGGCGGCTGCGCGCGCACCCCGAGCGCCGCCCCCAGCACGCCGCTCCGCCCCCGCGCGCCCGCTGCCCGCGGCCGCCCCCGCCCGGACTGGCCGCGCCCGCGGCCGCCAGTCGACCAGCGGAGTTCCGCCGCCCGCCGCATTAATATCGCAGCCAGCACCACCCACGCAGCCTCCGGCCTGCCTCCCGGCCCGGCCCTAGCTTCCGCTCGCTCCGTTCCGTCGATTCGCTCTCCGCCGCCCGCGACGCGCGCGTATAGCGTCGCGCGCGCACCGGCCTCCAGCGCCGGAACCGCCGCCCCTCTGCCTCTGCCCCACGCACTCCTCCACGAGCTGCTAGCACCGACCTAGTCAGGATCCCTCGAAGGCCGATTGGTATACGCCGCTAGTTAACAAAACTGCCTGCAACGTTCACTAAGCATACTGATCCGCCTTAGTAATTGTCAGATCTCGCGGATGAAGACGTGAAGACTGATGTTGAATAGTTTTGTGGTGTTTTACGAATCGCTAATATTTAGATACGTCTGCCTGACCGAGATTTTTCTCGTTACCTCCAGCAGAAAGCTTCGCTGTTCTTGCGACAGTGTGCCAGGCGTGCCGCCCCCTTTCTGCCGAATTCCGAATGTGAGTCGGAGGAGAGAATCGTCATGTATTCCCTGTACCGCATGGCTGATCGCTGACGCCGTGGCGGCGGCCACGCGCGCCTCGCCGCCTGACTCGTGTGAACGTAGGTGCTGGGGGCGGCGCCGGGCGGGCGCGGGGGCGCGCGGGCGAGCGCCCGGCGCAACGGTCCTTCGCCCAGTTCGCGCGCCACCGCGCCGCTCCTGGCCACGCCAAGCGGCTACCTCAAGCGCTGGCTGCGCCGTGCCAGCGCGCGCGCGCCAGCGGGCCTCCGGCCGGCGGCGCCATCTCTGTCCAAACGTCAGCCCCCGAGGCGCTTCGCGCCTTCTGCCTCTTCATGTACACCGGCTTAACCTGGACGTGAACGCACAGAGAACATCACGGAGTACTGCTAGCCACACATCTCTGCACCCATGCCGCGCGCGCTTCGACCTTGTGTCGCGCCTTCCTTCTGCAGCACCAACACCAGCCTGCCTCCCCCGCCTCCACCGCCGGCCGCCTCCACCGCCTCCTCGTCTCCGCGCCTACCCGCGCCGTCAAACCCCATCCCAGCCGCAAGTGCTTCCTATGCTCCTGGTGGCTAGGCGCCTGCCACCACCACCGCCCACAGCCCATTCTGGCCCCCGCGCCGCGCCTCCTTATCAGGCGCTGCCCGTAGGCCGCCCGCACCGCCCGTGCCGCCCCGCACCCGCTGCTCTGCCCGGTGCCACGTCGCTGGGACCGTCGTCGCCCTTCCGTGCCTGCTGCCCGCGCCGCCGGACGAGTCCCCGCACAGAGGCCGCCCGCCCCGCGCACCGCCGCGTCGCCCGGGGCGCGCCGCCCGCAGTCGCCGCTGGCCGGCCCTCCACGTCTGCGGCGGCGGTGCGGCGTCTGCGGCGCCCGCATGGACGGCTCACTGCCCACGCGTTCACCCCCTCCGCCAGCCGTCCAGCGTGTCCCCATGCCTTTCCGGCACCTGCCTTCTCGTCCGACACGCAACGTTGGTGTTCCTGTCCCCCCCCGCTGCCTCCGCCTGCCCCCGCGCCCAAACCAAAAGCCCCCGGCCCCCGGCGCCAGCGGTCAAACGAAGGCTGGAGCGCGCCGGAAGACAGCCTTCCACAACGGCCAAGACGACACGCCGGCGCTGCCGCCTCCGCATCCAGGTGACATCGACCGTGGCGTGCTTGCCGACCGTCCCGTGCGCTTCCACAGGTGTGCAACGACAACTATGTCTCCACCGCTGAGACGACATTTGGCGCAAAGCGAGCCGGCGAGCGACGACGGCGGACAAGCCGGCCGCGCGCCAACGCCCCCGACAACGCGCCGCCGACGTTGCCCCCCGCCCGACGCCCCGGCGCTGCCCCAGACCACACCCCACGCCGCCCATAGAACCTGCCCGACGCGCTACCCCTCGCCGCCGGCGACAAGCTGCGGCGCCGCGACAAGGACTGCGCCACAGACACTGTCTACAACCTGCCTCTTACTGCAACCACACCTTCAAGAGCCACTACTGCTAACCAGAAGCACGCGCGCGACACATCAACCCCTTCCCTCGACCTGGCGCGCCTCCGCGACCAAGTTGGGCGTGCGCCAAAAACAGCCGCGGCTTCGAAGCCCTGGACAGGACGCGTCGAAAGTCGACAAGGCGGAGTGCTCCCCGGCCGGCGAACAAAGGTGCGGGCGTCCGCCGGAAAGTGCAGCCTGCTCGACATGAACGTCCACGTACTACCCGTGCAAGACGTTTGCGGGGCTCCCAAATTCCCCAGCTTACTACTTCGGTTGCAAAGCACCGTAAAATGTGCACGCCAACGAGGGACTCCTCCGCGGAGTCCGTTCGTCAGCGAGCATACACGACTCGTCGCAACCACTCGCAACGACGGCCAGCGGCGGCCGCCGCCGCCGCCTCCGGCTGATCACGAGCGGGGCGCGGGGGCGCGCGTGTGAAGTGCGCCTGCAGGATAGTGGGGAGCGAGGGGCCGAGGAGTCGCCGCCCTCGCGCCCTGAGCCGCCGCCCACGCCGCGCATCGCTCCGCCCCGCCCCGCACCAGGACTCTCTGATAGTGATAATCAGTTTGTGACTGCGAAGAGCAATCAAAAGGACTCACGCCTTCCCTCGCTCCAATTGTGGATGCGTTGCACGTTATCGATGATCTCCAGAACCCTTCATGAACTTGACAGCGTTTCGAAGAATCACTCACTTGCACATGGAATACCTATAGTTCCTTCCTAGTTTTCTATTTCTGATAAGTTTTAAAATATGTGTACAATTCCAATAAGAAACTTGAGACAATGTATTAAAACGTATACAAGTAGTCAATAAATTACCAAATTGTTTATTGTGAATTTTCGATACATTATTTATCAAGCCTCTAACCCTGCCTATTCATTGTCTTCCCTTGGGACTATCTCGGCCTCACCAGAGCCTTTAAGGTAATTCAAGATTGTACTCCCTATAACCGAATAAGTAGTACATGACGTTAATTGACCAAAATTAGTATCTACTACGCGAAATTGTAAACTCGAACGTATTTTCAAATGTATGAAGATACATTTTACGAAACATTTCTGATAACAATTGCGGGCACGTTACTATGGCACTAACCTACGACTTTGTTCCAAACTAAACTATATCATGTTGAAAGGAATAGTGAAGACGGTGGAGCAGAAAAACTAGGGAAAGAGAAGCAATAAATTCACAAATTAAAAACAAAAGAGATACGGATTTCATTCGAAAGAAATACAGTCACTCCCTGAAATAAAAACAGAAACCCAAAACTCTCAAAATAAGTCACTTTTAATTTCGGCCTACCTTGTGCATTGACCATCTCCTCGTCGCTAGTTTCGACTTCCTCTTTCTTCTTGTCTTTTCTTCTTTCTTTCTTTTTGCTCTCAAACTTCATTTCACTGCAACGAAAAACACAATAAGGATATATTATGAAACTAAAATGTTTCTAAAAGTAAAAACCTTCACTCCAAAACAACTTTCCTATATTCTGTCAAATATAGAATTCACATGTGACATTCGTTGAAAAGGTGTTTACAAAATGTTTTTTCATAGTTATAAAATCTCTTCTACAAGTTCCAACAACTTGAAGGCAAATATTCGGAAGAAAAATCTATTCAAGAACAATACATTGATGAATTTTTAAACCACCTTAGCCACAAGCAATTGAATCAAACTCAGCAATGCACAAAAACGGTATGTTCAGATAATATGCACCGTTTCAAATGAACACATCATCACAGGAAGAATTTTTTGGTACCGACCGGAAGATTGGAGCCCAAGAATTATGCCGACTACAGGTAGTATTTGTTGCTGTATGTGGCACAGTCAGCATTTGATCATGAGTGAGCAGGGTAATTAGATTGTACACAAACAACTACACACGCACGCCTGGCGCCACAACGCAAATACTCCCTATGCTCACTTACGGTTGCGGCTTACACACAATAGAGATTCGCCTACAGCTCGGCACTCCACTATTCGAAAGAATTCGAACCCACATAGTACCACTAGAAACCTATTTTCAAAACGCGATTATATGAAAAGGAATGTTGAAATAAATGTATCAAATTAATTATCCTCGTAAAAGTCACTTTCGCGCTCTCATTTTTGTATATTTAAATCTTAATTTTTACTCGCATGATCTTTATCCGGATGTAAAAAGAAAATATCAGTAATGCATCATCATTTACCAATGTGATGAAATTATCACAAAATTGTGTTAATATTTAAACTTTATAGCAGTATCCCGTCTAAATATGTTCATTATAATTACATTTACCACCACAAACAATTCTCCAGAACCTTAATGTAATTAAAAAAGCATACTGCAGGGCAGCAGACACATTTTATTAATAACCAACTACCTCTGCTGGTCTCCCATGTACTCCCTTCCACCATCAAATATTAATTTCAATTGATCTGTATTGGAAATATTTCTGTGTTTTTTTAATAGCATACATAATTTTAATACATGTCTCTGTATCTGTGTATGTTTGAACTGCAGTATGTAAATCAGTCAATATTGGATGGCGTATTGGCTCTACCTTATGTCAACACATTCAGAGCCTACCCCTCCTCTCTCGCAGGCTAGGGCCAATACAGTTCCATGAAAGTTAAGCCGTACTAGTAATTATTAAATTGAAAATCTATGGCAAATATGTCTACTCTATAATTAATTGGTCAAGCTCCAACTGTACCTACCACTGCTTCCCTCTGAGTGCGGGTCCTGTGTTTATCCCCCTGGCTCATACTGTCCTGAGAATTAATTACCGCGCCAATAAAAACTCACGAGAGATTTATAAAACTAAGTGCACGTATGTTTAAAATTAAATCCCAAATGATCTTTAATAACAAATAGAAAAATTAACTTTTACAAACACACACTTTCGTTTAACAAATAAACAACTGAACACATATAAAAGGTGTTGTGACCACTGGGAAATGCATGACCTGAGTTACAAATAATTTCACGCTAATAATTGGAACTTTCAGGGGGGAAAATGTACAATACGCGAACTACATGGTTTAAAAAACAGTTTTGTGAAAGCATAGGCTTCCCCGGTCGGGGTCAGTATCTTCTTCACACTCCGGGAGACCCTGCGTTCTAGGCACAGATGCCAGCGTTTCGGCTATTTACTACGGGGAAATGCACGATCGCATTGTCTGCTGACTGCGTAGCATTTCGCCGTGAGAATGTCGCAGCAGAACGGCCGAAATGGTGACATCTGCGCCTAGGACGTAGCGTCTCCCGATCAGTCAAAGAGATACTAACAGTTATGTGTATAGTATCTTAGGGGCAGAACGGAATGTATGTCTCATAATGTTTTCTCATCGCGGTACAAAAAATTATATTACTTCCTAATAAAGAAGTGGACAATGACTTAACGCACACAACTGAGAGTCCTTCGGAATAAAACACTTAAAATTCACATAATCATTCAAAACTTTAAAATTTGTTTCTACTCTTAACGTGATTTCACTCTTACAAGTCCACCTTGAACTTATTGATAGAACACGAAAAAATGTAAAGTTAATCTGCAAATAAAAGTTCCCTAACAGAGCAATATAAAACAAATTAAAAGTTGTGTACACTCATAAGAAATTCAAGAAAGCAGTAAAAAATTTCACTATGTTATTAAAGTTATCTTTTGTTTCTACTTGGTGTTATTAATTCTAAAAATAATTTCCATAAGGGGCCATCTTTGCCCAATTTGCATATCAATTGGTTTAAGTGATCTTTCTCAGCAAGCTCTTGAGTCAACATCACTAGCCCTGGCACACAAGACGGATTCTGCTGACTGCATAGCAATGCAATCAAACAAGTGACTCCAGCACATTCATGCAAAATGGATTACTCTCCCTCGAAGATGAAATCCTTAAGAGGTTCTAAATACGCTCTTCTTGTACAAAAATTCATTAGAAAGTTTTTATTTTCCAATAAAGCGCGTCCACATGTACTACAAATGCAAGAACAAAACTTAGTACTGTTGACAAAACAACGATTCATGTCCAATTACATAGTTCGTTAATGTCAGAACGGGTTTTCTCTCCAATTAAAAAATTATAAACAAAGACATTGTTTTTAATTACTGTTGAACACTCATATCTGCACCGAAAATTTCACTTTATGCTGACAAAAGTTGATAAAGCGTAAGAGCTCCCGATGCGCGATTAGCTTACTTCGAAAATCTGAAGATATATCTTATCAAAAATTGACGAGTTTTTAATGCTTTATTTGCTACTAATTTATTACCCCAATTCCGATTTTGTTCCTACAGAGGGTGCTTGAAAACTTGCAAAATGTTTGGTAATGGTCAAATACCCAAATTAGTAAAAGCAAATCGATATTCTACCCTCTGAACGTGTTTGAGACAAAAAATCTAGAAGTTTCGGTATACGCTACATTTTTGCTAAGTCAAAAGTAATAAGATGTTTCCCGCTCATTCTTTACATAGAAAATGAGAAGAAATAAATAATTTTTCTTCCTTTTAATCGCCCCCAATCGATCCAATCTTCCTATTAGCAGCTTTCTGCAAAACATTTAGGGACATTCGGGGCATTTTACTTTTAAAAACGGAATAAAATAAAGACCAAGATTCAGCAAAATTAAACAAAGATAAAATATGGATAAATCTATCCATAAACAACTCCCAAATCGATGTCAACTTAACATCGCATTTAAGATAGCAAGAACAATGATTTTGTATTACAAACTTTCCATGAATCAACAAGACAATCAAGAGGTTAAAAAAAATTTACATTTATAAAAATGAATTAGTTAACATAATATTTTCAAACGTTCTCATAATTGTACGAAAAGACCATTATTGTTAAAGTGATGTAATTGATTAATACAATGTACTTTGGATTAATCTGCAGGATCAACACAACAAAAGAATACCACATAAAACAACACCTTTCAGTTTTTTCCCCTCTTGAACATTAAGACCCGAAAAACGATATATATATATATATATATATATATATATATATATATATATAATATATTATTATATATATAATTACCAACCACCATATAGAAAACTAGTAATGATACAACAGATCACATTTTCTCGCTTTATTTGTAACGTTTGAAATTTTTCAAAATTAGGAGAGTTCAACAAAAATTAGACATGTGCTATTATTATAACCGTAATTTGTTCTATTCAGTGAAAAAACAAAGAATTAATTCCCCCCCCCTTAATTACAATCTTATCTTTTCATACTTCCTTCAAGCAATAATTATGCGAAATCTACTCATATTTTTTAAAAAAATTTAATGAAATTTAAAAAATTCAAGACATTATTTATGGGCTTTTTTAGACGATATTTCATTGAAGAAAAAATACTCATCAATACTGCAGATATGTAAAGTTATTGTTTTGCAATGTTCAAAAATACGGGGTTCACCGAAAATGGGGCATGCACCATTTTTAAAAACGTGTATCCCTCTAATCTAGAAAATACATAAGAAAAACTGTGAAGCTGTTTTTATGAAAATATATTTAATTGCTTATCTTTCACGCAGAATTACCCGAAAATTACTTTTTCAAAAATTGATTCAAATTTCCAAAAATTGACTTAATTTAAAGATTCTTGAAAAATCTCATTAAGGAAAAAAAACTGTAGATGTACGAAGGCTCCGAAAACCTTTTTAAATTCTGCCGAAACAATTTTCGAAAATTTAGTGTTCAACAAGAATTAAACTTACGCTTTTATTCTAGTCGAGGAAAAAATAATCAAAAAAATTGAAATAATGAGAAAATCTTGAAAATGAAAAAAATGTTATGTAGAGTATTCTCAAAATCAAAATATCAGTTTCAAATTCGCCGAAAACTGGACGAATTCGTTTCAGTTTCGAATTCAGCCAGGTTAATCGCGGAATGTCAATTTTGGAGGAAATCGTATCAACGGTGTAGGTATTATAGGTGTTGACCACAGATTGACAGATGTATGGCTTAAATTAATTATTCGTAATCAAGGACCCCCAAAATGTGTATTCTGACCACACAATGTGTTACAAGAACTATTTACTACAGATAGGAACAAACACTACCCGTTTTTCGGTATTAGGGACTCACAAAACGAGTCTTTCTGTTGAAAATTCGCTGTTTTTGTATACACTTTCTCAACTCTAGGTACTACTAAGTAGTATAAAAGAAAGTTTAAAAAATGAAATTTTAAAATTTTCAAAATCCCATAATTTGTAAAGAAATATGTCTTATTGCGAGTATTAAGCGAGCATAACACTATTGAGAAAAAAATGTCTCTAGAAAAAGTTTCCCCCCTTCGAGAAAACCTTGCGTATGTGTTGTTTTTTTTTATAAAATATCCTTTAGGTCTCTTAATTTTATGCAATAACGTACTTCGAAAAAACGGGCTTGACAGGAGACGAGGC